CTTTTTAATATGCTATATATGTTGCTAAATATGCAATATCTATATTTATTTCATTAATCCCACACCTTACAGAGAGCCGCCTCGTGAGAAAAATATAAATTTTGACACAATTTCCAGCGCCTTAAAAATTTGAAATTTTAAGTAGGGGTGTTCACGGGACGGGACGGGATCAGGACACTCCCGTCCCATGTCCCATCCCGAAAAAAAGATCGGAACTGAATTTTGGTCCTGTGTCCTGTCCCGTCCCGAAAGTCGTTCCATCCCGTTAAGAGTCGGGACGGGACCGGAACAAGATCGGGACGTCCCGCCGTCCCGATAAATGAAATAACATCGAAAAAAGATCTGAATAATAACGTTCATTAAAATTTTAAATCATATAAGTTATTAAGTTTAAAATCAAAACAACACAAGTACATAAATAACAATAATTTAAAATCAATTATTGAATTATATTAATCGTAACTACATATTATAATAACAAATACAAGTGATTTTTATGCTATAAGATTAGCAACAGGCAAGTCAAACACAACATCAAATCATTATTCTTCTATTTTAGTGAAGGCGTACTAAGCTAATTACTCTTCTAAAAATAAGCAAGAAATATGTTATAAATAAAAGTTATTAAATAGATAGATATAAGAATAAATTATATTAATATAATTAATATATTATAAAGAAAGATATCGCCATATTTACTCCATGCCATTAAAATTACCAATATAAAAAACTTTAGTTTTAAATAAGAATTGCAAGTATTAAAATTATAATTGATATAATTAATATAAGTATAAATTATATTAATATAATTAATATATTTAAAATAAAAAATAATATATATAATATTCGGGACGGGATGGGACGTCCCGATGGTAATCCCGTGTCCCATCCTGTCCCGAACCCCTTTTCTGTCCTGTCCCATAAAGTCTCGTCCCGATTATTTTCGAGCCGGGACAAGACCCGTCCCGATATGATCGGGACGATACCAGGCCAATCGAGACGGGTCTAGGCTGAACCCCCCTAATTCTAAGTTTGTCTTTTTCCTTTGGAAAAAAAAAAGGCTTTTGCACGTGCAAGAAATAATTTTTATAAAAAAGAATCATATTTGAGATTCTTTTAAAACCTTTAATTACATTTAAGGACAAATAATTCTTGAAATTTCACAGAAGAACCAAATGACTACTCAAAAAAATATTGAAAGCAAGTTAATATTTTTCACAAATGTCATTACATTGGATAACTAATGAAAAAATAAGACAAGTTAGAGATTTTTTATGATTCACTTAGAAAGAAGAACAAAGATAAGTTGATTTTTACAGTTGTGATCCTTACAAAGGATATTACTTAAAAAACTATTAAAATGAGTGTTAAAAAATTTTGAAGATTTAGAGTTAGGATGATTTTTTTAAGCAAAAACATAATTCTTTTATTTCTATAATTTTATCAAATTTTACATTTAGTCCCTATAATTTTTTTAATATTTTTAATCCTTATAAGGGTCAAAAATACTAAAAAATTAACATTATAGAGATTTGGAAAATAAACATCACTCACTCAAACAAAACTCGATTAAATTATAAGATCTAATGACTATATTTTCCCTTTTTTTAATAGTCAATTTTGGAAAGGATGCCTATAAAAAAATTAAGAGAAAATTTTATTTAAGGACCATATTGTACACTTTATCAATCAAGCCTAATAAATTATGGAAACTGATTGCAAGATATTGGGACTGAAGTGAAATAAATTACTGGATCACGTGACTAAAATGTCCTTTATGAATTAATAAAAATAATAAGCAAGCAATCGAGGAAGGAAAACTCGTGCCAAAACCCAAGGTAAATATTGTACTTGTCTTATTATAAGTTTCATCTTCTTCATCTCAACTTTTAAATACAAATAGATCGGTATGAATTCATAGTGTGAAAAGTATGTATCAAAGGAATTGGTTATTTCATATGGAGGATTGTGATCATATTATATTTATGATGCAATGTGTTTTGCAACCCTAAAATTGCGAAGTAGGTGGATCTGCCCAATGCCCACCCTCTGATTGGAAGAGAAGATGGTTAGAGGTCCCCAAGTATTTAATTTATTTAATGAGCTTATCCATTTTCAACATTAATAGGTGATTATTGATAGCTCTGGTCACTTAAGTATGAACTTTCGTATTCAAGTTTGTTAGGTGTTACGGTCAGATCCAACTATATAAGTTTTCTTATAAATTGAAATATTGGAGCTAACCTAAATTAGCTAGCTTACCTGAATTACTGACTCTATATTTAAATATAAAAAATATTTTTGAAAAGTACCTTTTAATTAAAATTGACAATGCTCAAAGCGAACTAAATTAGATAGTTATATTGAAAAATATTTAATAGTTAGTTTTAGTAAAAAAAAACCTATAATTTTAGAGTAAAAATTGAGAAGTAGGATTATCTCTTGCCCCACCTTCTTGTTCCCATGATTTTTTTTTTTAAAAAATTCCACTTGCTCTTGTGAGGGGCAAGGTGGGAGCAGGAGGATGGGGAGCAGATGAGAACTTGCTCCCAAAATTGATGGGCTTTATCTAGTTGATATTGACATTGATAATTGATATTTTTATTATTGATAATATTAATTTATTTAAAATGTTTTTTATTGTAAGATTAAAAAATGTTGTTTATTGACAATATTTGAGCCTAAAATTTTATTTGAAAAGGATAGAGTTTATTTATTTGTTCTCAATTACCGAAGATATTTATAACTTGCTCTCATATCATATCCACTTCTTTTATTTTTTTGACAAGTTATTTTTATCAATCTCATTAATATTAATGAAAAAATAAAAGGAATAAAATTGTATAAAATTTTAAATATGCTCTTATATAATAATTTTAAAAAGTAATATCATTTTATTTTTTTATCTCATAAAAGATAATTTTAAAAATATTTTTTAAATATTACTTAAAAAATTACACTGTAAGTTATAAATAAGATCAAATAAATATTTTAAAATTGATAAATCCCATCATAAGATTCTCTTACTTTTTAACTGTTAAAATCTAAATTTAGTGTCACAAGCTATTATTATTTTTATTATAATAAAAAAGGTGAAAATAACAAAGAAAAAATTAGAATTTTTAATTTAGTCACAAATAGCGGCAAAGAGGCATTTTGTGGCATGCATATGGAATATGATGCACCAAACAATCATGCATTAGAGCATCAGATGTCGCAGGGGGAGGGGTCTCTCCATTTTTTTCCCTCCACTTCTTCCATCTCTATCATTCAAATTATTTTACTAAATAATTTTTTTAAGTGATAAAATTAATGAATGGTGGAGATGGGAGAAGTGGAGGAAAATGGAGGAAAAAAAAGTGGAGAGATCCTCTTCCTGACATCGCATAAGGCATAACTTAGCCTGCAACTTTTGTTTGATTTCACATTATGTGTCTATACAGCATCTGAATTTCTTTGCTTTTTATCATAATATTACCGCTCTTGTTAAACTTCGTATCAAATATTTAAGAGAATTGATGATGATGATGATGATGATGATGATGATGATTTGATACTGATATAACAGTAGAATTCCATGTTTCAATAAAAGGAAAATTATACTCAAGGACTCATAATTTATATTTAAACGATAAATATAAAAAAATAAAAACTCATCCCAAAAGATCATGTAAACAAGTTATCCCTATAAAGATATTAATTGTATATTTCAAAATTATTAATAATTTATAATATATGAAATAAAAATGGGTTAAGAGTTATTTTTGCCCTTAAAATATACGCAAAAATTCATAAATGGTTTTAAATTCAATTAAGGATCAATTTTATCCTTTAATTTCAAAATTTTACTTTCCCAATTTCCTTGGTGTTATTTATCCATTAGTGAGGCTCATATGAATTTTTTAAATATTTTTAAATAATCAAACATAATAGTTTGATCTAATTTATATTTTTTACTATATTTTTTACCTAATTCCTCTCTCTAGTCTACACTCTCTCTTATCTCCTTACTCCTCTCTCTTCTCTCCTTCTCTCCTCCCTCTGTCCTCCCCCATTCTCTCCCTCTTTTCTTCATTTCAACTATAGTCGCCACTCCCTCAAGTTTCCTCAAGTCCTCTTGCAGCACTACAACTTACTCTTTCATTTGCATCAAATCTCTCTTTGCCTTTACCTTTTATAATTCCCTTAATGACATTATCATTCAACCCTTCATACAAACTACTAATCAAAACAATTAATTTGAAAACTTTAAGATCTCAATATAAAACTTTTGTGAACTTCTTTATAGAAACTATTTAATATATTTAAAATAGTACATAGCGAAAATATTATACAATAGCATCTCAAAGCCAACAAGGAGACATGTGCCAATCAACCAAAATAAATCAAAAACAAGGGCAACATGCCGTAGTTAGTGCCATATGCGCCGCGGCATGTGGCACAGAACCCTCAGCGTCACTCTCTATGTCATGCACCGCGGCATGTTATCTTTTGTTGACATATGCGTCGCGGTGTACATATCAAAATCTGTTGTCAAATTTTAAATTTTAATACGAACTTAAAAAATGCACCATTTTCGCGTTCGATGCCTGATTAGGGTGATTCAAGTGCCCACACAAAGTGTAACATCCTGATTTTTTATATAATAAAGAAATTGTGGAATTTAGGTTTTGAGAAAAAAAATGATAATAATAGGAATTTATATTATTTGAGGTTATTTAGAAATAATATTATGGTTAGGTATTTAATTATGAATTTAAAAATTTAAATTTAAAACCACATAAGCAATATTTAGTTAAGATATAATACATAAATATTTTTTTTATGTATGTGTTGAAAAAAAAAAGAGAAAAGGTAGAAGGAACAAAAAAAAGGGGGTGGAAGGTTGTTGTTTCTAAGTCCCACATTGGTTAGATGAGGGAAGAGAAGAGGTGCCTTCATGTATAAAAAGGAGGGGGTGTGTGCATTAGGAAGCATGAGAGGCTAAGATACAATTTAGAGAAAATTGCAACTTTTGGCCCAAAGGTTTGAATAATTAAATTCAAACCTATAGTTTTTTTTTAATATAATTTTGGGACTCACAATCCCATTTTTATATTATTTTTCTCTCTTCCTCTCACGTTGCTCGGCGTTTTCTCACAAGGGGGGATTATTTTCTTTTTCTTCAGGTATGTTCTAACTTTCCTGTTTAGATTAGCATTTAAAAATTTATTTAATTACAAAATTAATTTTATAGTTATTTTCTAAATAATATTAGCTTTCTAGTGATATGATTATTTTGTAGGATAGAGTAAATATTTTGATTAGGATTTTTCTATAGGATAGTTAATCTGATGATATGATGGATTAAAAATATAGGTTAAAATTCTTAGGGATATAATAAATATTATAGAATATTTTCTTGAGGTTGAAACTCATGTTTAAGAATTTTTGAGTTAAAATCTAGATCTATATGGTTGAATTTATGTGGAATCTGAGACGTAGGGATAAACCTATGATTATTAAATATTTATTTAAGTATGAATAGGTATTTTTGAGGTTATAGAAAGGGGATTTGAGGCTTCAGGATAATTCTAAAATTTTTAATTTATTTTTGGACGAATTTTTAGAATGTAGAAGGATGAAATTGTGATACTAGAAGTGAATTGAGGATAAAAAAAATAGTTCATTAGGGTACGAGAATTTTAGAAAAGAATTTGGGAAGTTAAATGAGGCATAAATCTTAAATTAGTGTTAATATGGACTATAAATTTAAGACTTTCTAACTCTTTAAATTAGAGTTATTTATTTTAATGTAAAATTAATATATAGTATTGTGAAATAATTATGTAGATTATATTGACAAAGATAGTGGTGAAAAAGGAGTTGTGAAGGGGAACTTGTTATTCAAGACACAAGGTAACCATTATTAATGTGTTGTGATGAGTGTGTTTGTGAATGGTTATGTGTTGTTTTGTTGTTTGGAAAAATTATGAATTATTGAAAATAAATACTGTATATACTTGTTTGAAATTATTGCCAAGTGGGTTAAAAATTTATTTTTTATTTATCATGATGAGATATTATTGTTCGGATATATTCCTGTTTGGATATTTGAATGATGCATGACTTGTCAGGGTATTTTAATGTATGGTGTTAATGGGAATTTCTGTTCGGTTAATTATTACCACGTGGTAAGCCCTCATTGGACCCAATGAGTGGCGTGTCGCTTGGTCCAACTCACCTTTGGCCGGGTGATTTGGCGTCCGAGCATGGTGAAAGGAGGATATAAGGTGCAGTCATGCAATTAAATACTTGTTCGGTTTGTTTGAAAATATTGTTCGGTTAAATGTTTTGTGTGCCCACTTAGCAATCGCATGATTAGTTACATCCGCATGCATCATTACATATTAATTTTTGGTTACTGGGACTTTTAAGTCTCATTCCCCGTGGTTAATATTTTTACAGGAGCGAATCCGGCCGAGAAAGCACCAGAGGTGTAATTATGGTGTATGAGACACCATCTTTTACGTTGCCTCTTATTTTGGATTATACAATGTATCTTGTGCCAACTTAGGACATATCTTGTCTATGGAGCATGTAAACTCTAATCCTTTTTATTAAAAGTATTTATATGACCAAGAGGATTATATCTGTCCCTCTTGATTCATGACCTGATTTAAATATCATGCCATGAGGATCCTGTCTGTCCCTCATGGTTCTAATTACTTTTTGAGATATTTTAAGACCTGTGGTATATTGTCTTGGATGTATCATGGTAGAAATTTTTCTACCATGATAAGGGTATGATAAGGGTTCAATGAAAAAAAAATGATTTCTTGAATTAATAATTTGCGAAAAATCGGTTTGTAAATTTGAGGGTGTTACATATTGGTATCAGAGCATATAGTCGGTTGGCAATATACATTGTTATGGTGCTTCTCATTGTATGGCCATGATATAGCTAGGCTAATTTTATTATTTATATCTTGTATCCTTTAGGAGGGGAGAGAAAATGCCTGTTACTCGTGGTAACTCAGGATTCCAACATGAGCACCTGCCACCGCCACTGCCAAATGAGGAGCCTGACTTGGCGGAATTAAGAATGCTTGTAAAAATATTAACAGACAAGGTTCAAGGATATGAACAAGAGTTGACGGAGCTAAAGAGGCAAAAGATAACTGAAAATGGAGATAGGGCTCATGTTGAGAGTCATGTGGGGGAAGGCAGTTCCTCACATCCTGCCACTCCGAGAGATCATGAGTCTAGAAGGAAGGAAATTAGGCAGGAGGAACAGAGAGCCCCACCGACCATTACTGATGTGTGGGAAATTGTTAGGAAGTTTAACCCTCCTACGTTTGATGGTAACCTTAAACCATCCATGGTAGAGGAATGGGTGAAGAGACTCGAATCCATCTTTCGAGTAGTCACATGCACTAGCAATCAAAAAGTACAAGTAGCATTAGTGCTCCTAGTGAAAGGAGCAAGAGATTGGTGGGAGACAGCAGGGCCCAGGGATGATTCTACACTCACCTGGGAGGAATTCAAGGAAAAATTATTCAGGCATTACTTTCCATCAGAGTTAAGGTCTGAGAAGGAAGCGGAATTCCATGCCTTTAAGCAAGGGAACCTCGATGAGGACACATTCATTGCTAAGTTTCAGGAGTTATCTAGATACTCCACGTACCTGCAGTATAGGGATGATTCCGAATGGAAGGCTAAGCGCTTATTGGAGAAGGCTAGACCAGAATTGAGGGAACAATTGGCTCATTAGATATCCGAGATTATGATGAAATGTGCATAAAACTACAAGTAGTAGCTCGCAGTAAGAAGGAGGTTGAGAGAGAGAAGAGGGGTTATTCATATAGTAGACCCCCAACCTACCCTCGACCCACCGGAGGCATTATGAAGAAAAACCATCAGGGTTCGAGTAGCTCATGGAACCAAGGAAGGCAGAAGGGTCCATTTCAAAGGGGCCAAGGACAGAGGAGCTATCATAGTAGTTATCACGGGTCACAGAGGAGCCCAACGGTATCTAACCCTGCCCCGAGTACAGCGAGCTCTCAACAGTGCACTAAATGCGGGCGTCGTCATTTCGGACATGCTGGGTCTGTTACATTTGTGGGAAACCCGGTCACATTGCAAAGTTTTGTGGGGACAACCAGGGCTCAAATATGAAGAACCCTTCCCAACATCCTACTGTCTCTGGTCGTGTGTTTGCTCTTACTCAGGACACCATGAACTCCCCAGATGCCATTAGAGGTAACATCAAAATCCTTCATCATGATATTGTTGCACTATTTGATTCGGGTGCTACACACTCTTTTATTTCTGAAACTTGTGTAAAGAACCTTGATTTGCCTGTGTGTATTTTACCTTTTGATATGAATGTGTCTACTCCTGCGGGAGAATCTGTAAGGACTGCTAAGGCATGCCTTAACCTAGTAGTCGAGTTTAAAAATAGGAAAACAACTATGGACTTAATTATCCTACCACTGAGAGGTATGGATGTAATTGTGGGAATGAATTGGATGGCTGCAAATGGTGCTATCCTAGATTGTAGAGAGAGGAGTGTGTCTTTATCTTCTTTGTCGGTGACCCCAGTCGAGACTCAAGATCATGTTTTCTTGTCGGCGGCGCAAGTTGATAGATGTATGAAGAAGGGTTGCCAGGCCTACATGGTTTTCTTCTCTATCCAAGCTGAGATTGATGAAGGCGTGAAGAATATCCCAATTGTCAAAGAATTTGCGGATGTATTTCCAGACAAAGTCTCCGGTTTACCCCCAAAGCGCGAGGTAGAGTTCTCAATTGAATTGGTACCCGGTACAGAGCCAATTTCTAAGGCTCCTTATCGGATGTCCCCTTCAGAGTTAGCGGAACTGAAAAAGCAAATTGAAGAGCTACTTGAGAAGGGTTTCATCAGACCAAGTGTTTCACCTTGGGGATCTCCAGTCCTTTTTGTAAAGAAGAAGGACGGAAGCCTCCGATTGTGCATTGATTATAGACAATTGAACAAAGTAACCATCAAGAACAAATATCCACTTCCGAGAATCGATGATTTGCTGGATCAGCTTGTGGGATCCGCAGTTTTCTCAAAGATTGACTTAAGGTCAGGGTACCACCAATTGAGAGTAAGAGCAGAGGATATACCTAAGACAGCATTTCGGACGAGATATGGGCATTATGAATTCATGGTGATGCCGTTTGGACTTACGAATGCTCCTGCGGTATTCATGGATTACATGAATAGGATCTTTCGACCCTATTTAGATAAGTTTGTAGTAGTGTTTATTGATGACATTCTTATTTATTCAAAGGATGAGGAGGCTCATGGTGAACATTTAAGAATCGTCTTGCAAGTTTTGAGGGAACATAAGCTTTATGCCAAATTAAACAAGTGTGAATTTTGGCTCCAAGAAGTAAAGTTTTTGGGCCATGTTGTGTCCAGAGACGGAGTTGCGGTGGATCCTAGCAAGATTGATGCAGTGATGAAGTGGGAACAGCCAAAATCTGTTACAGAGATACGAAGCTTTTTAGGTTTAGCAGGTTATTATCGTCGCTTTATTAAGGGATTTTTGCAAATTGCGATGCCCTTAACTAAGCTGACTAAGAAGGATGCCCCATTTATTTGGACTAATAAATGTGAAGCTGCTTTCCAAGAATTGAAAAAGAGGTTAACCACTACTCCAGTATTGACTATTCCTAACCCTGTGGTGCCGTACACTCTGTACACTGATGCTTCTTTAAAGGGTTTAGGATGTGTTTTGATGCAAGATGACCGAGTGGTTGCCTATTCCTCTAGACAGTTGAGGCCACACGAGGAAAATTACCCTACACATGACTTGGAGTTGGCTGCAGTTGTGTTTGCTCTGAAGATATGGAGACACTACTTGTATGGATCTAAGTTTCAAATCTTCAGTGACCATAAGAGCCTGAAGTATTTATTTGATCAGAAAGAGCTTAATATGAGGCAGCGACGATGGATGGAATTTTGAAGGATTATGACTTTGAATTACATTACCATCCGGGTAAGGCTAACGTGGTAGCTGACGCCTTAAGTAGGAAGACTATTCATGCTGCACATTTGATGGTTCATGAATATCATTTGTGGAACAGTTTTCATGATGTTCCAGTGGATGTGATTGAACATCAAATGGCCGCCGCTCCAGGTAGCAGACTTTGAGAGCAAATTCTGAAGATCTCAGAGTCTCACAGCAGAGTGATGACTACTTAAGGAATATAAGGAAGGAGATAGTGGTAGGTAAGGCCCCAAATTTTACCATCTCTGAGGACACAGTGATGAAGTATAAAGGTAGAGTTTGTGTACCTAATGATCCAAGATTGAGGAATATCCTTTTAGAAGAAGCTCATAGGAGCAAATATACAATTCATCCCGGTATAACTAAAATGTACCATGATTTGAAGCGAGGTTGGTGGTGGCCAGGAATGAAGAAAGATGTAACTGAATTTGTTTCTAGATGTTTAACGTGTCAGAAGATAAAGATAGAACATCAGAAGCCAGCTGGAACACTGCAACCGTTAGATATTCCAAAGTGGAAATGGGATGATATTTCTATGGATTTCATCACTGGACTGCCAAGAACACCCTCGAGTAAGGATGCTATTTGGGTGATAGTAGACCGACTCACCAAATCAGCTCACTTTTTGGCGATCAAGTTTACCTCTACATTAGAGAAATTTGCTGAGATATACATTAAGGAGATAGTTAGACTTCATGGTATACCCTCTAGAATTGTGTCAGATCGTGACCCAAGGTTCACTTCAAACTTTTGGGGTGCGCTACAGAAGGCTATGGGTACCAGACTGAGTTTTAGCACCGCATACCACCCCCAAACAGATGGACAAACAGAGAGGACGATCCAGACTTTGGAGGACATGTTGAGAGCTTGTGCCATTGAACTACCAGGTAGTTGGGATAATCATTTGCCATTAGCTGAATTTGCTTATAATAACAGCTATCATTCTAGTATTGGGATGGCGCCTTATGAGGCCTTGTATGGAAGGAAGTGTAGATCGCCTTTGTGTTGGACAGAATTAAGTGAGAGGAGTATCATTGGTCCAGAAATTGTAGAGCAGACCACCCAGAAGATTGCAATGATTAAGCAAAAATTGCTAACCGCTCAGAGCCGACAGAAGAGCTATGCTGATAAGAGGAGACGGCCGTTAGAGTTTGAAGTAGGAGATCATGTATTTTTGAAGGTTTTCTCCAGTGACAGGCATTGGTAGATCCATTAAGGCAAAGAAGTTGACACCTAGATTTATGGGCCCGTATGAGATCTTGGAGCGAATTGGATCTACTGCATATAGAGTTGCATTACCTCCACAGATTGCAGGTATCCATAATGTGTTCCACGTATCACAGTGAAGAAGTACAACCCGGATCCCTCCCATGTTATTGAACCTGAAGAAGTAGAATTGAGGGAGAATTTGACCTTTAGATCCGAACCGGAGCGAATTGAGGACTTTAAGGACAAACAACTACGCAATAAGACCATCCGACTCGTGAAGGTGATTTGGAAGGGTGGAGCCCTAGGTGATGCTACTTGGG